TGTATCGTATACTAGTTTGCACCACTGACTAATACGTGTGTGTATCCATGATCGTGGTCATGGATCAGTTGATTCAGCGTTGCAATCAATGATTGCCAATCATGGATTGGCAGCCCATCTGCAATTTACAACTGGCAGAGATTGTTTACACATTGTGGAGGACGGATATTGATTTAAAATCCGCGCACGTAGCACGCGAGCTTAAAGCCCAAGATCAACCGTGACTAATCCCGCTCAGCTCTATATGGTCAAAGCGCAGGAAGGACTGGAACTATTAGGCAGGGTGATCCTCAAGAATCTTGAGTCAAGACGACTTGAGCGAACTTGGGTGGCGGTCGTTTACGCTAACAAGTAGTATTAAGCTTCGCTCCGTTCACACATGACACATAATGAAAGAAGAGAAGGCTCTGTTGCAGATGCAGAGCGAATCTTTGTTTGTGGTCACCCATATGGATCGCCATAGTAAGGGCGCTGTCGCTGTTTGATCCGTCTCCATCTCACCGCTGGCGACTCGGGTGGTCTTCAGTGAAGGCTCTTCACTCGTCAAACCGCTTCTTCGCAGCTCGGTGTTGAAGTATTCCTCCCGACAAAATGACTAAAAAGTCGCCCCGAGTGTCCCGGTGGCCTCAGTTTCTGCTTGTCGGATCTATTTTCATTTCGGTACTGATGCTACTTTCCCTTTGGACAAAGTTACCGAGTCATGAATCCCTTCGTCGATCTCCGGCAGCGTATACGCTAACACAAGTCGAACAAGCATCTGACCTCTTTACTCTCGTCCAAAAGCGTCGAAATAAGACGGTCGTCTCAGAGTCAGAGCTTCTCCACCTCGACGATTTAATCCGCTCTGACTCGTTTGAGCAGTGGGCACCTATGATCGTGTCGAAATGTATGCATGGAATGGATAAGCGAGCAGCACCTTGTATCAAGGAAGCCAACCGAACGAATATTGTCGAAGCTCAAGAGCTCATGTACCCTGCCTTTCGCCTCAAGCTGCCAAATTTCGTCAATGCAGATGTGAAGGCCAAGTGGTTATCACAAGGCCTTCACGTCGATCGTATGCGCGTATCGGAAGACCAATTGTGGGCAGATTACCCCACCTTTCAAGGACAAAATATGGTGTTTTCCGACGCGGTGTACCGAGGAGATCCTCCACCAGACATTTGGTCGGAAAACGGATGCATGGGCCACGACGTAGCCCACACGTCATTTGTGCACAATCTGAATATCAACGTCAGTGAGCTGGGTAATGGGAAGAATGTGGATACTCTGGTCGTCGCTACAAGCCCGGATTCGTGGTCCTTCCAGCATTTCATCGACCGAGTTGCGGTTGTCTGGAGCCAGGCGCAGCTTGTCATCCCCGCCATGAGGAAGAACGACACGATCATCGTGGCAGGCAAGGAACCCCGCGATTCCATTGTGAATGAAATTTATGAAGTGATGGTTGGGCAACACCTGCACAACCCGGAATGGGTGTTCGCAAAACGCCTCGTGTTCTCATGTCGCGCACCATTGATTCATCCCTTCACCACACAGCGTATTACGGAAAACATTTTGCACTCGTTGCCCCTACCAACAAGTGCCACCAA